TTAGCCAGTTAGGGTTAGAGGAGGATGGATGGGTCCGGCTGTAGGGTTGGTGGGGCTGTGGGGTTGTAGGTTCTCTGGGGTGCAGCATGGTAGGCGTGGATGGCCAGGCTGTGGGATTGTAGGTTGACTGGTCTTTAGGGTTGTAGTGTGGGTGGGTGGAAGTGTTGATCTGTGGGTTGGCTGGTTGTAGGTGTGGATGGATAAACTGTAAGGTGAGCTGGGGTGTAGTCTTGTAGGGGATGGGTGGATGGATGGATAGGGTCGTGGGTGTGGATGGGTGGGCTGTAGGATTGTGGGCATGAGTGGATAAGCTGTTGGGTTGTAGATGGGCTGGGCTGTAAGGTTGCAGGTGTGGATGGATGGGTTGAGTCGTAGGCTGGCTGGCTGTAGGCTGACAAACACGTAGATCAGATGGTCCTCTCTCCCCCAAAACTGGAGCTGTCTGTGCCCAGCAGTGACCACTCCTCTCCAAGACACCCCGGCTTCCCTCCAGGGCACATCTGACCAGTCGCACCCTCCTCCCTGCGTGGCATCTCCAGCTGCCCAGACTGGCCCCTGGCCCCCTGCCCCACTGAGCTGCCTCTGTGGAGCTTTGCTGTGCCCAGGGAGGCTGTCTGCCTGGTAAGCACCGGGGATGCTTGCACATCCCCTGGGCTCTCCCCTGTGCATCTCCAGCCCCATCCCTGTCCCTCCCGCCCCATCCCTGTGCTCTGGCCGCTCGCCTGCTCCCGCTGCTCCAGGCTGATGTCCAGGGGCTTGTCATCGTGCAGTTCCCGCTTGGACCGGATGAAGGTGGGCGGCGTGAACCTGTTGGCTCGGTCAAACTCCTCCGGCTCCAAGCCCCAGCCGTCCCGCAGCCGTTCCCAGGCTGCCTTGCTGGTGCTGCTCTCCTCCAGCTGGGAGGGCCCCACCGACACTTCCTCCTCTCCCTCCTGCACTGCCTGCTCCAACGTTCCCCGGCACGTGCCCCCCAACTCTGCCCCCCCCCCACCTGCCTGCTGCCATGTTGATGGCTGTTCCCGCAGCCCGTCCTTAAAGGCCGACACAGCCAAGCTGTCCTTCTGCACCTTCTCCACTGTCTGCCGCCTGGACATCAGCACCCCCATGGCTCTGTGGGGAGGAGGAAGGTGCTCAGTGCTAAGACCTTGGGGTGCAATGCTGCTTTCCACCCCGCACCACCAAGCTATGTCCCTGGCCCCAAAAAGGTGTCCCAGTGGCTGTCTCCCAGCTGCATGGGGAGCAGCTCAGGGCAGGGAGAAATGGAGACTCCTTGGCAAGCTGGCGCTGGGGTCATCCATGGTGGCCATGGGGGGTCTCACTGTTGGTGGAGGAGCAGACAGCAAGCAGGGAGCTGGTTTGGGGGCACCCTGCCTCACCCATCACCGCAGGGAGCTCCCCCCCAAGGGCTGCCTTTGCAGGTCCCTGCATCACTGAGCATGGGTCAGATCCTGGCCTCATCCTGCCCAAGGCTTGGGTAGAAGCAGGGAGGAGAGGGCACAGTGGGGCTGGGCTCATGGAGAAAAGCCAAAAGAGGGGTGTGGGCCCCAACTCTTGGTGCACCAGTGTCCCCAATAGCCGCACTGGTGCTCCTGATCCCCAGCGTGCTGGCAGCATCTCCCCGCAGCATCGTGGGGCTCTGGGCAGCCCATCCCCAGCCACCCTGCAGTGCAGCAGGGCAGCCTGGGCAGCAGCGGGGTGACTGGCATAATGTCCTGCTGTAATCCCTCAAAAATGAGGTTCCCCTGTGTGTTCATGGCGTAGTCACACTCCTGCCCCGCACTGCTGCTGGAGGATCCCAGCCCGTCTCCTTGTCTCCAGTCCATGGTGACTGTCCTCTCCCAAGGCCACCCTGAGTGTCTCCTGCCACAGCCAGTGCCACCATCTGCTGCGTGCCTGGCACGGAGTCTGGAGGCTGTCACTCCTGTCGCAGCTTGTGTCTGTTCTCAGCCCCACTGGCCTCCCTGTCCCTGCTAGTGCTGCACGGCTGGACCCTGCCTGCACATCCAGGGGCTGAATGGCCTCACCTTGAGCTCCCTCTCCAGACCCCATTGCCTTTCCACAGGCCCCAAAGCTCCCCAGATACCCCAAACCTGCTCTGCACTCTCCATTTCCTCCATGTCCTGCTTGACCCATTGGCTGTGCGGGGTGGGACATCACCCCCACACAAACCCTGGCCCCAGCTCAGGGTCCTGCCAGGCTCAGAGGGTCCCCCCTCTGCTGGGGACCCCTGGGCACAGGGGGGGGGGCAGAGGCACCCTCACTCCATAGCAGCCCAGCTACCTGAGCAGCCTCTGTGTCCCCGGGGGAAGGTGTCTCCGCTGCTATTTTTGGCCACCCCTTGAGGTGCCCAGCAGTTGGGGACCCAGTGCCGCCGCCTGGCTCACCTTGGCCTGAGGCACTGGGGCCTTGATGTTGCTGCCAGGTGCCAACATGGGGGCTATTTTTAGGTCGCCCCCGTGGAGGAGCTAAATCTGGGCACAGGCCAGAGCTGCCTGCAAATGCCTGGCTCCACCGAGCACTGCTAGTGCCAGGGGCTGTTGAAGAAGGTGGTGGGCACCTTCCTACCCCCTTCCCTTCCCTTGCTCCAACCCCCTGCACCCCTGCCCTGTCCCCTAGGCAGCACCTGTTCCCTGCACTCTTCTGATGGGGAAATGCTCCTTGCTACTTCGTCCCTGCAGCAAAACACTGAGCCAGAAAGCACTTCATCCCCCTAGCACCCATGGACTCATCTTTCCCAGCCTCGCACAGCTCTCTGTGTGGGGAAACTGAGGCACAGAGGCAAGGCTGGTGCAGTTGGCGTGGGGATCATCTTGTCTTGGGGGAGGATGGTGGCACGGGTGGGATGGGGCTGGCAGCCAGCACGGAGGCACCTTGGGAGGAGGAAGCAGGGCAGAACATCCCAACACAAACAGAGCCGACAGTCCCCACATGGCTCCAAAATCTCCTGTCCCCCATGGCAGCGGGAGTGGGGAGGCGTCAGCACCCGTGGCTTGTGCTGGGGGTTACGGGGCGCTGGGTTTGGCTGTGAGGGCAGCAGTGGGTGATGCATGGGTGGGTGTATCACAGCACGGTGGGGGCAGCGGTGGTGGCTGGGAGCGCAGGATGGATGCGGCAGGGACAGGCTGTGGGCGTGGGGTGGATGTGTTACGGCGTGGCTGGAGGCGCGGGGCGGGTGTTACAGCCCGTTGGGGGGTGTGTGGGCTGGGGTTGTTGCAGCGGCTGTAGGCATGGTGTGGGTGGTGGCTTTGGGTGCAGGGATGTTGCAGCAGCTGTGGGTGTGGGGTGGTGGCTGGGGGTGCAGGATGGGTGTGTTTCGGGGGCCATGGGTGCAGGGGGGGCTGTTGCGGGGCCCGGC